AAGAGAAGGATGGATGGGAAAGTGGATTTGACGGTGGAGGAGACGCATAGGATGGGGAAAGATCCTTTTTATGTGCTTCTCCTCCTTCGTCAATTTAGGGTAGGCAACGCATGTACAATTGCGGATGTCTATGGGCAGCAGTCGCTTTGCCGTTTTTGCGGATTTAGTTGCCGCTTGCTCGTTTGCCACCTTTTTGTATAAAAAAAAGACAGTTAACAAAGGTTAGATTAGTACGGACATATACTACGAGTAGTTGAGAACGTTAATAAGAAAGTATTAAGATTGAATATGGACTACAAAGATAGAGGAAGAGCGAAGAAAGTTTTGCTGGATTGATAAAAGAGGATATGCATACGAAGGCAGTGAATTCAGATGACAGCTGATAGAGATGTACGGAAGAGACGCACATACTGTGCAAACACTCTATAGAGACAAGGGTAAGTTGATGGTGACAGTAACCACATGTTTTTATACAAGTTTCAGTGGAAATTCATTCACTTACCTTTTCCTATTTCCTCTATGATCCCTTAATAAATCTCACAATAATAGTTTCAAACGGAACACATCCACGGATGGAGGCCGTTTATAACACGGTGACAAGGAAACCCCATAAATCTATTCGATTTATGTGGAATATGCTAATACTATGTTAGATTTATGGTTTATTTACATACTTAAGAGTAAAATTCACTGGTTTATAACGGTAATCGTAATATGATAGTTAACTAGCTAACGACCGTCACTTCGTTCACGCGGAATTAAAATAAAACTTAATTGGTTTCCTATGTGTAATTCCAAGCTGTTGTACAACTATACCCACTTTCAGTGAGACCCGACTATTCTGGAGATATATGGTAACAAACATCCATCCATATAAAATTTTACATTTACAATAAGAAAGAATAGTATAATGTTAGATAACGACTAGTTGTTCCCCTTGTGTAAAATTCAAACTGATTTCATCCAGTTTCGAATATAATAAGGATTTTATTTACCAAATTTCAATCTTACTGATAACAAATGCGTTTAGATATTGTGTTTGTTGGAGTTTTTAGCCTAAACTGCTGAAAGGATCTCAATGAAATTTCGCAAAGATATAGAGGATAGGAAGAAAACACAGGCTATTTACTTTTTTTTTTATTCCACACAAACGAAGTCTAGTCTAAAGCTAGTCTTCCACAAACAAAGATTAAAAAGTAGTTTTGTGCCCTTCTCTATATAACCTTAAACTGCATCTTTCAAGTTAATCACAACGCACGAACGCTACACGTATTATACAGGATGATTCTTAACTAGCTTTTCACGTCCTCTAACTTCATAAAACTGTTGATCCGTCTCTTAAGAATCATCCTGTATAAATAAATCTAATCTAGTTTACAAGATATATCTATAGCTCTAGTACATGTTCAATGGAGTATGTGTGCGTTATCTACGCTTCGCAATTGACTACACAGCGACGTAAACGTCGTAATTACATGCTTTGATCAATCAACAGTTCACTGCCGCCGCACTAACATGATTTCATACCAGGGTAGTAGGGAAGAACGGTACTAATATTTGTAACGACTAAATAATTCGACATGAAACTTCGGGATCAGTAAGAGAAGCGCTAGTTTCGATTTAGATTTATTATAGTACTAGCTGTTCCCGTGCGATTTCATGAGCATAAAATTATTTAATTGTTTACATGTGTCAAATTGTCTATTGCATATGTCAAAATGACATGACAAACCTTGGCAATCTTGCTTCCTTGATGTTGGCTGCAACTTATGGTCTCTTTCCCACATTAGGGTTTTTATACAAAATATTTACCCCCTTAGTTTAATGGCGTCAAG